AACATATCCTTTGAATATCCAAAGAGATTCTACTCAATCCCCTCCTTATATCCAAGCAAGGCAATTGTTTTGATTGCTAAATCATTTCTTGCTTGAGTTTTTCCTCATTGCTTGAGTCTTTGAGAGATATTGCCATATTCTAAAGGACTTCATTGTATTTGCAACAATCTACTCCGTGTTGGGAGAATTACTCGGTTGCGGTTTGTTTTCTTACTTTATTGTAAGGGATTTGTATTCTTAGTGTTAGGATTACACCAAGTGGTAGAAATCCTAACGGTTTGTGAAATCAAACGTTAGGTGGAAGAAATCCTGAGTTTTGTGAAATCAAAACTTCGGTGGTAAGATAAGAGGCTTGTGAAATCAAGTTCTCGAGTTGTATTCGGATTGTCAAACTCCGTTAAGTTTGACGGGTTAGTGAAGGCCTAGGCACGATTGCTTCGGGGACTGGATGTAGGCATTTAGGCCGAACCAGTATATATCGTGTGTGCATTGCTCTTATCCTTCACTTTACTTTGTTTGTGGTGCATTGATTTTATTGAATATTCGTGAAGAACGTTTCCGCGCAAAAAAAACTGGTCTTTTTGGCAACACCTCTATTCACCCCCCCTCTAGAGGTGTGCGAGGCATCTAACACTGTTTTTGATCCAATTCTTGAACTCTGTCATCTGGTATGTCTGAAGAAACGCCTATGAAGATTATTTCCGGTAAGAAGAATGAAGAACGAGAGGAGAAGGAGGTTGGGGTGCGACGTCGTCGTATCTCCCCTTACGATTTGTCTCCGAGCGACAATCCGGGTATGATCTTAACCCATGTCGTTCTAAAGGTAGATAATTATGATGAGTGGTCCAAATCTCTGCGCTTGGCTCTTCGAGCACGCAAGAAATTTGGATTTGTTGATGGAACAATTGAGATGGAGATCCCGATTCAGAAGATTTTGACGATTGGTGGACAAACCATTCACTGTTGGTCTCTTGGATTCGGAACACGATTGATCCAACTTTGAGATCCAGCATATCCTTTATGGAAAAGGCTTCAGATCTGTGGAGCGAGTTGAAGGCTCGTTTCTCTGTGGTTAATGGACCAAGGGTCCAGTAGTTGAAGCGAGAATTGGCGGAATGCAAACAGAAGAATCTTTCTGTAATGGAATATTATGGAAAGATGAAGAAGTTGTGGGATGATCTAGCAAATTTAGAGAGGTTCTCGATCTGCACGTGTAGGAATTGCACGTGTGACTTGCAGGAGAAGCTCACGTAGATGCGTGAGAGGGAACGCTCCCATCAATTTTTGATGGGTCTGAACGATGCTTTGTATGGGACTTTGCGGTCAAATTTGTTGGCCCAAGAAATCATACCACCGGTGCCAAGAATATATAACATTCTTGTCCAAGATGAGACGGCACGACATGGCATGCACAAAGGAGAAAGTAGTGAAGCAGGTGTATCCGTGTTTGCCGTAAAGAACAAGATGGAGGTCAAAGAGCTTGTGTGCTCACATTGTGGGAAAACAGGACATGATATTGAGGCGTGCTATAAGCTGATTGGGTACCAGAGGGATGGGTGTACCGCGATCAGGCCGGAAGAGGAAGAGGAAATGGCCGGGGAAGGGGTCGTGGTGCTGCACGAGGTGGCGAACGGTCGACCGTGGCGGCTGGACGGTCGACCGTTACGGGCAGACAAGGGGAAGTCCATGTAGTTCAAGGAGAAGAAAAAGGACCATCCCCGCTCCCGAATTTTGAGGATCTAACACCTGAACAGTGGAACGCTGTTCGTCATGCACTCTCGCTCTCCCCTACAGATAACTCACAGAAACTCTCAGGTATCCCTGTATCACCTCGTTGGATAATTGATACTGGTGCGTCCAATCATATGACATGTTATCTTTCGTTATTATATGATGTTGTGGGAGTGTCTCCCTGTGAAATTGGACTGCCTGATGGGAAACGGGTTGTGTCTGTTCAATCTGGAAAGGTTGATTTGACTATGACTATGACTTTGCAGAATGTGTTGTTTGTTCCAACCTTGAATTGCCATTTAATTTCTGTGTCACAGTTGACAAGGAATATGAACTGTGAAGCAAAGTTTACCAACGATTTGTGCATCTTACAAGACCTAAGTTTGAGGACAACGATTGGTGTGGGTAGACATGAATGAGGATTGTACTACCTAAAGAAGGAAGGGAGGAGCTTGGCGTGCAGTGCTGCTAAGAAGAATGTGTCTGACCTTTGGCACAAACGTCTAGGACATCCTTCTTCGCATGTTTTATCATTAGTTCCTGTAGTTGGTTCAAATAAAAGTAGTCATAGTCATTGTGATATCTGTTTGCGTGCTAAACAAACTCGTGCCAATTTCCCTATCAGTTTTCATCAATCTATGGACAAGTTTGATATGGTGCATTGTGATGTGTGGGGTCCTTATCGGACACCAAGTTTGGATGGTTCTACACTGTTTTTGACTATTGTAGATGATTTCTCGCGTGGTGTGTGGGTATATTTGTTTGATTCAAAACGAACTGTAGGGAGTGTTTTTAAACAATTTTGTGCCATGGTTGATTGTCAATTTGGGAAGAGAATAAAATGTGTGAGAACTGACAATGGTACAGAATTTGAGTGCTTGAATGAATATTTTTTGGAGAAGGGAATTGTTCGTGAGACATCTTGTGTGTCTACACTACAACAGAATGCCAGGGTGGAGCGTAAGCATCAACATCTTCTGAATGTGGGACGTGCTCTGAGATTTCAGGCGGGTCTTCCGATAGAATTTTGGGGACAATGTATACAAACGGCGGCATAATTGATTAACCGGACTCCCTCGTCTCTCCTAGGGGGGGGTTACACCGTATGAGAAGCTCTATGGAAGGGCTCTTGCATTAACTCACATTCGTATTTTTGGTTGCGGATGTTACGTTCACAACCTGAAGAGAGACGGAGATAAATTTGCACCTAGAAGTATTCCTGGAATATTTTTGGGCTATCCACAAGGAAAGAAGGGATGGCGTGTGTATTTTCCAAACACTGGGAAAATAAGCGTGTCCCGAGATGTTGTGTTCTGTTAAAATATTTTTCCCTACTTGATTTCCACAGGTGAAATGTTGAATGAAGATGGAGCAAGTGTATCTTCTCCAGTTGATCACTTCGGCGATGAAGATGACATGACTGCGGAAGAGCAGCTGAACCGTTCCACGAGGAACGGTCGACCGGAGGAGACCAGTGAAGCAAGTGAGCTACAGACGGTAGACCTGGTGGACCGTCCCGCTGTCCACGGTCGACCATCCGAGAGGCAGAAAGATGGACCTCTGGGAGTGCAACCAACGGTCGACGTGGTGGACCGTTCTGATAACCACGGTCGACTGTCCGAAGGGCAGAAACATAACCTCGAGAGGGATGATGAAACGGTCGATCGTGTTGAGGAAAACGGTCGACCGTCTCTGCGGCAGAAAGAAGACGCTCGGGAACCATTACAGACGGTCGACCCCGTGGACCGTTCCACAGTCGACCCCGTGGACCGTCCTCTCTCCAGAACACAACAGAGACCTTGGGGCGTGGTCAGCGGGAAAGGCGCCCAAATGTGAGGCTTGCAGACTATGTTACGCATGTGGCTGGTCCACAGATCGGAGAAAAGTGCAGATATCCACTCTCATCATATGTCACTTATGCAAAATTTTCTGACAAACATAAGTGTTTTCTCGCAGCACTTGATGAAGAAATAGAGCCTAAAAATTTCAAACAGGCCTTTCAGAATGAACGTTGGAGGAAGGCCATGCGAGAAGAAATTGATGCGTTTGAAGCCAATGGTACGTGGTCTCTTGTTCGTCCTCCATGTCATAAAAAGGCTCTTGGATGCAAGTGGGTATATAAAATCAAGCGCAAGTCTGATGGCAGTATAGAGAGATACAAGGCTCGGCTTGTTATATTTGGTAATCACCAGGTTGAAGGTATTGACTACAAAGAAACTTTTGCTCCTGTGGTCAAGTTGACCACCGTGCGCACCCTTTTAGCAGTCGTAGCAGTTAAGGGATGGGAATTGCATCAGATGGATGTTCACAATGCATTCCTACATGGAGATCTTCCGGATGAGGTGTATATGAGGTTGCCACCTGGTTTCTCGAGTTCGTCCAATATGGTCTGCAAACTCAAGAAGTCTTTGTATGGCTTGAAACAGGCTCCAAGATGTTGGTTTGCAAAATTGTCTGGGGCATTGAGACGATATGGATTTGTGCAGTCTGTTTTCGATTACTCTTTATTTTCTTTTGTTGGAAAGAAAGGAGTAATTCATGTTCTAGTCTATGTAGATGATTTGATCATTGCGGGTGATAGTACTGAGATGATACACAAGTTCAAGGAATATTTAGCAGATTGTTTTCGGATGAAGGATTTGGGGACTCTGAAGTTCTTTCTTGGCATCGAGGTAGCACGAAGTACATCTGGAATTTTTCTCTGCCAANACGATATGGATTTGTGCAGTCTGTTTCCGATTACTCTTTATTTTCTTTTGTTGGAAAGAAAGGAGTAATTCATGTTCTAGTCTATGTAGATGATTTGATCATTGCGGGTGATAGTACTGAGATGATACACAAGTTCAAGGAATATTTAGCAGATTGTTTTCGGATGAAGGATTTGGGGACTCTGAAGTTCTTTCTTGGCATCGAGGTAGCACGAAGTACATCTGGAATTTTTCTCTGCCAATGAAAGTACGCTTTAGATATCATTACTGAGGCGGGGCTGTTAGGTGCCAGACCGTTGGGTGCCCCGATGGAGCCAAATCATCACTTGGCTCGTTCCCAAGCTCCTGTCCTTGCAGATCCGGAACCGTATTGACGGCTGGTAGGAAGATTGGTCTATCTCTCTATTACTCGACCTGAGCTCTCCTACGTCGTGCATACTTTGGCACAGTTTTTGAAAGAACCAAGGGAGGATCAGTGGTCTGCGGCGCTTGGGGTGGTTCGTTACTTGAAAGGGTGTCCTGGACAGGGCATTTTTCTCTCTGCAGATAGTAGCCTTCAACTTACGGGATGGTGTGATTCGGACTGGGCAGCATGTCCTTTGACCCGGCGATCGTTGACAGGCTGGTTCGTGCAACTTGGGGAATCGCCGGTTTCGTGGAAGACAGAAGCAGACAACGGTGGCTCGTTCGTCTGCTGAGGCAGAGTACAGGGCTCTTGCGGTTCTTACCTGTGAGCTGAAGTGGTTGAAGAATTTGTTGAGATGCTTGGAGGTTGATCATAGGAATCCTATAATCGTGCGTTGTGACAGCACCGCAGCACTTCATATTGCTGCTAATCCGGTTTTTCACAAACGAACGAAGCATATTCAGATTGATTGTCATTTTGTTCGTGATGAGCTTTTACGAGGAGAAATTCGTGCCCTTCATGTGCCTACTACGCATCAGCTTGCAAATATTCACACGAAGGCACTTGGAAAGTCACGCATGGAGTTTCTTATTCCCAAGTTGGGCATTTCAGCATTACATGCTCCAACTTGAGAGGGGTGTAAAGGAGGAAAGAGAATATTTGGCATTTATTAACATTTATTTCCGTATAATTTAGTTATGGTAGTTGCCTTGTATAGAGATTCCTTTTCCTTTGTTAATTAGGACTCTTTGCTATATATACGTCTGGATTGTAAATTGTAAAACACAAAAAGGAATACAAAGATTTTCATTCCGAAACAATTCTTTCAGAATAGAAATGTTTTCAACCCATTCCAATAACAACAACAACAAAAACATAGTTGGATCCCACGTGAGTAGGGTCAGTGAAGGGTGTGCGTACACAAACCTTGCCCCAACTCGAAAGTAGAGATCGAGGTTGTTTCCAAGAAACCCTCGGTGCATAAATAAAAACATCGCAGGAGATACATAAAGCAAAAAGGCAGTGATAAAGGACAAAACATACAGAAACAAAGAACAAACTAAGGATAACAAAGAAAAAGTATTGCAAACAGAGAACACCAAGCATATAAGGCATACAAAGCATGCACCAAGTACATATAGCTTATCCTAGCCTAAAACGCCTATCTAACTACTCTAGTCTTAGTTCTCCAAACACTACTATCTAAGATTATATCCTCAGTAAAGACAAGAAGACCTAAGTCCTTTCTAATAATTTCCTTTCAGGTCTATCTAGGTTTACCCCTTCCTTTACTCTCACCTACCGTTGTAAGCCTCTTGCATCTCCGCACAAGAGCGTCAACATTTCATCGTCTCACATGCCCAAACCATCTCAACCTATCTTCACGCAACTTGTCTTCCCCACAAGAGTCATGCATACACGTCCTCGAATAACCTCATTCGGGATCCTATCCGGCCAACCTTGTTTGTCCACATACACATCCACTGTAACATCCTCATCTCTGCAACATGAAGTCGATGAACACGGATTTTCTTAACAATCCTTTTCTAATAAATAACGAAAAATTATATGGTATAGCCACATGTACATTCTTTTTTATGAGGAGACTTTAGAATGAATATTAGGTTAAAATAGGAAAAACTGTAAATTTAAAATAAACAATTCAATTGATTCAAGATGAGAATAATTCTATACAAGTACAAAATAACTTGCAGAGATGGCTTCATAGATTTCAATAAATTACTTTCGAGTACCATCAATTTTCTGGTAATAACTCCCAGGCCCCACATTTTCTGAAATATACTCCGGGGTCCCCTTGATTTGTTGGTAAGAACTCCCAAGTCCTACATTATCTGAAATATACTCCGGGATCCTTAAAATTTGTGATATTATACTCAAAGGGTACATTATCTCAATTCAGGTGTTAGATTAAAAGTTATTTCACTTTAACAAATTGATGAATTTTATTTTAATTTAATAAAATAATGACTATCAATGTAAAGTTTAATATTTTGAGAATAACAGAACTTTCAATTATAACAGTCAAATGAATAGAATGTGCCCTCAGAGTACATTACCACAAATTTTAAGGATCCCTAGAGTATATTTCAGATAATGTGGGAACTGAGAGTTCTTACTAGAAAATCAAGGGTACCTCGAATATATTTCAGAAAATGTAGAACCTGGGTGTTATTACTTGAAAATTGAGGGTACTCAATAGTAATTTTCTGTCAAAAGTTTTCTCCGCATTTTTGATTCATACGCTGAAATAAAATGTGAACACGTGTTGATAAAATCATTTTCTCCAAATATTCTTTGTACTATACATCGAGTATCGATGAAACCATTCGGTCTCTAAACTCAGCAAGCCACCGTAGACCGGATCTAGATTAGTTTGCCCAGGTGGTAATTTACACCATCACAAGTACATATAGTTCATCCTAGCCTAAAACACCTATCCAACTACTTTAGTGATAGCTCTCCAAACACTTCTATCTAAGGTCATATCTTCACTAAGAACAAGAAAATCCAAGTCCTTTCTAATTACTTCCTTCCAGGTCTTTCTAGGCCTATCCCTTCCTTTACTCCCACTTACTATTGTAAGTCTCTCGCATCTCCGCACAAGACCGTCAACATTTCGATGCCTCACATGCCCAAACCTTCTCAACCTATCTTCTTACAACTTGTCTTGTACAGGAGCCCATGCCTGCCTGTTGTTCTCGGATAACCTTGTTCGAGATTCTATCCAACCTCGTTTGTCCACACATTCATTGTAACATTCTCATTTCCGCAACAAAAAATCGATGAACGTGAAATTTCTTAACAACCCATTTCAATATATAATGACAAATTATATGATATAGCCATATGCACATTATTTTTGATGAGTAGACCTAGGTTAAAATTTAACATTTTATGTTGTATTAATTTTAAATAAACAAATCTATTGACTCAAGATGAGAGTAATTGTATTCGGGTACAAAATAACTCAGCGGAGATGGCTTCAAAAAATTTCTCTGAATTTTTTATCTGTCCTTTTGATTCATACGCTGAAATAAAATGTGAACGCGCGCCGATAAAACCATTTTCCCCAAAATTTTCTGTGTACTATACTCATCCAGTATCGGCGAAACCAGACGGACTTTGGAAATTCCATTTTCAAACCTCAAATTGTTTCTCATATCGGTTCAACCTTTTTCATTGCTATTTCTCTTCCAATCCCCTCCCCCGTCGTCAACCCATCTCGATTCTCTCCATTTCCCCACCTTACATCGATACGCGCATCAAAGGGGCTCTGAATTTGATCTCTGAATTGCTATTTTTAGGGTTTATTCTGAAATTTTTCTTCCGGAGAAACCTAGGCTCAATTGATTCTTTCAGGAAAAGATTTCAATTGGCCTCCTCGTTTTGGGTTTACCCCTATACATAAATATATAGATACCCTTGGGATAGGTGTTGGTATAAATTCGAAGGCCCCGTCTATCATATATATTTCGAGTTGTATGAGCATTTCTAGGTGATGATATAAAGTTTGGGCTTTTGAGGTGCTTGGAAAATATGTTGGGGGAAGGACTGCTGTTGAATGTGAGCCAGAATGGTGATGATTGGTTTTGCGGTGCCTCGAAGTCTCACAGGAGCCAAAGCCAGAGGTTAAGTGGTCCTGAGAATCATCATAACGGAGATCATAGCAACGGAGCTAAGAGCGACTTTGTCCTAGGAGCTGCTGCCGCGTGTGATGTTCGAGCAA